ATTTCAGAATGGTATCGTAGAGTCATAATAATAGCTTTAGCAGCACTCTTGCTCTCAATAATCACTATCATTCTGCTATGCGTCCTCGTCATTTTCAAGAAAACCCCAGCAGTGCCAACAACATTCCAGCAAGCAGAACCATCAACCGTTCCAAGTTAGCTTATTTCATGACTCAAAACTTTACTATGCTCAAAATATAATTATCAAAAACTTCATTCCATTATATCTCAAATCATCAAACGTTTTCAGCACTGAAGCCGTTCTCAGGACCACCTTGCCATGGATATTTTCTATTTCATGTGGATACGTCGCGCGAGGCAAGACATCCCGCCCTCGAGGTATGACTTTTAACTCGAAATTCACATTGTTGTGATCGTAGGTGATTGGATTAGGCACAGCAGAACGACCACATGAGTCTAGATTTTAGGCACAATCGAAACGTAATTCTCAATGATGAGTTTTGAGCTGTAGCTGAGAAACGATTCGAAAACCTATACTGTAAACTTGAACCTAATATTCGGCATGATGGTTTTGGCGAGATAAATATCCGAAACATTACCTGGATTGGCAAGCAGGCTATCAAACGTTCATAACATTGCTGGCCACAATGCTCGCGTTTCCGTGCATATTGTTGTAGCCTCAATTTACGCCGTCACCTCGCTGGCTAGGCGAGCAGGCCGACCGAACACAACCGAGTAATTAAATAGTTGCCGTGAATACTTTGCATAATTAAACGCAGTCAAATGCCAATTCAATAAATAATCATCAATCTAATAAAATAAGTATTCCGCCGATCGCTCACGAAAATCCCAAACATATCAGTAATAAAATTGAACTTATTCATGAGAGGATTACCAGGTTTCTGTGATACAAAATCTAACAGAATCATGGAAGCTGGATGACTCGAACGATTTGCAAGTGGCTGTAATGGCCACTGCATTGAAAGACTATGAGAATGGCGTGTATATGACGAACTTCACTGGCAATCAACAGCGATGGGAAGTGATTCTCCGTGTTTTGTCGAATAAAATCACTGAAGAAAGAGGAGATTCGCCGTTGCCACCGGCAGAGTAAGTATGAGTCATTTTGAGATAAAACTGAAAAACATCAGAAACTGTTCAAAAATTTTTCTCATGTTGATAAATCTTTGAATTCAGAATAGCTGAAATAATCTCTTCGACATACTGCAAAAAGGACATTACATATGGAATGCGAGAAGGTGGCATTATCAAGTTTGTTATATTTACATCGGACAGGTGCATATTCGAAATGCTTTTTTAGATTAGCGTTCAATTTTTTTAAATTGTGCGTTGAATTAAGGCAGTGCACAGCAAAGGTTTTTGATTAGGACTCAAAACACGACAATATATTCGGTAATATTCGATAAGGAATTAAATCAGAACGCAAGAAGAGCACTGGTGGACTGAGACTTCGAAATGTTGATAGGTATGGGCAGCATCATGCCTAGGCGGCTCGTTGCGGTCTGTTCATGATAATGGGAAAATACAAAATGATATGTGACTGTGACACAGTGGACACACAGTGATNTGTTTGGAGGAACGTTTAAAGTCATTTGAGTTAGGGTTTACATGATCGGATTTAAAAATTGATGAGTTTGCTGATAGATTCTAAGTGAGAAACGTATTACAGTGATAAATACGAGATATCGACAGCGTTGAGAGCTCACAATCCGTGGTTAAACTGTGGGATTGCTGAAAGCGAGTCTATTTTTGTGGTTGCAATTGATGATGGTATGCAATTTTGCATGCAGTCATCACGAAAAACAATTACCATAATTATTTGTTGCTGCATAACGACAAGGTCTTCATAATCCATCACTGACTAGGAAAGGTCACGAACTTACCCCGTAAGATAACTTGACCGATTTCGGTGGATTCATCCGACATATTAACACTAACTTTCAGGTTCTCCAAATCTAAACGAATTGTCATATCCGAACAGGGATTTATTTGTGCGAATGACCGACTTTAGTACAACTGAAGTTGATTATTTAAAGAACAAAATAACACTGACATTATGTGATTGTGAGCCAACATCTGATGGACGTTTGCCCCTGGGATGTACTTCAACCAACTCTGAACCTTCCAATCCTCCGTCATCCACGACTACCACTCCCCCGTCATCCACGCCTACCACTCCCCCGTCAACCACGACTACCACTCCCCCGTCAACCACGACTTCCACTCCCCCGTCAACCACGACTACAACTCCCCCGTCAACCACGACCACTACTCGTCCCTCTACCCCAACCCCCACCCCATCTCTCCCCGCTATAACTACTGTTTCAGAGACAACAACGAGTAAGCTTGAATTCTGAATTATTAATCCCTGACCGCATCCAGCATGCAAAACGCGATTCCAGCTGCATTAGCCTATATTAGAAGCAGCTAATTCAGTGCATTTTAAGTTGATGATCTAACGACAGAAATATCACTACAATGTGCGACCTTGAACCGAATTTGGATAGAAACACACGTTAGAGATATCCTCAAGTTCCTGAAAGAACAACTACCTGTTTGTTGTTTTGTTTGGGACGGCTTGTGATGTTGGTTGTATTGCTGGTGCGAAGGCGACGATTAATAATTTAGTTTATCCACATAAATAAATGAAGACGATAATAACGGTTGAATACAGTGAAGATGGTTGAGTGACGAGAGATGCCGATGATGGCTCATAAACAACAACAACACTGG